AGCAGGGCCCAAAAACAATAGGGGGGGGGGGGGGGGGCAGAGGGGGGTCCACATTATTGTAGGGCAACAGTTCCAGGCATGTAATAACTCAAAAGTTTGAAATATGAAACTGGATGGTAAAGGCCGGGCCAGTCAAATTTTTGCGGCACCCATAAACCCCCCCCCCCCCCCGCCCCCTCATACTGCCACTCTGTAAAAACGCCACTGCTTTGAAGCATAGCTGTATCAAATGCCAGTCTTAGTTTCCAGTAAGATTCAACAAGTTTCAGAATACTAAAAGGTAGGTAGGTGACCCAATTACTTTGATTGAACGAAATGAGAATGTCTTTCCCGAGGGAAACTTGGTAGCACTTTGTACCGATCTGATCACTACAGGTCATCACCTACTAAACATACTGATTAGCTACTTTACTCTTGTCTATTTCCTTGACCAATTCCATGAACTTAGACAACAGTCTGATACCTTCTGGCTATTGACTGTGGATTGTGACCTCTTCTCAAGAAAATGAATTCTTCATTACATTTCCTGTTTCAATGCAGCGAGCATCAATTTAAATTAGAATCAACATCTAAAGCCAAAGGAAGTTCTTAAAACAAAGATCATTCCCTCTATGGACATAAATTTACAGCATTTTTTTTTTCATAATAATAAGAATTATTGTGATCAGTTCCCTCCCTTGACTATTGAAATTGGAGAAATATATTTTCATCAGTTACGTCCCTTGATTTTTTTTTAAATTCGTCGCCCAAGTCGCTACCGGTGTTTCTTTTGTTGGCGCTATTCGGATCATTAGTAGGCTACTAGGTCTATTTATTTTATACACTGAGAGGAAAGGTTTTTTGTGACATAATTCTTGTTTGAAGCTGACAAACGCCCCCTTTAAAACTTTTAATTAAGACTAAGGTTACTGTGGAATAAAATATATCAGCGTGAGAAATGTCAACTTTAATGATCCACCCACGTCTATTACTACATTGAATACTTTTTTAAATACCAATGCTAGAATTGGTAATCATATGGTATGACCATAGCTGACAGCTCCTTGAAAAAGGGGGGGGGGGGCGGTCAATTGCATCTTGGCAGTCATGGTAGGGCTTTTGTGTAAAATAGGCCTACCGTGAGAATAGTGGGATACGAAATTAAAAAACTTCCAGTTGCAGAGGGGGATAAGGTGTGACATAAAATCATTGCATCGGACAGAAAATTAAAATATTTAAACCATAGGGAAAGTCACGCGAATTTTAGATATCAAATAAGAAACATTTCAAGTGGCGTATTTAAGTGGTTATTTCTGGGCCATTTCTCTACTTTCAAAATCTTGTTAGATGTATTCTTCCACATAAGAAAATATTCCAGGGGCGGACCCTTCGACCCCACCGTGACTAGTGCCCTCTTAAATCCGCTAGGGGACGCCAGATTGTCAATGGAATCCTTGCGAGGTCACTGATTATTTGTTTTATTTCTGTTAGTGTTCATAAGGATCAAACACCTTCCTTTTCGTCTTTACCTTGACGAATACGAAGAAGGAAGTAAACTGTAAAATGATTAACGGTGCAAAAAATATATTGAAAAGTCCTTAGATTCATCAAGAAACGTTGTGTTCAAAGAGATAGATGGTCCATCACTTCATTTATTTAAAAAGAAAACTTGAATGGCCTCTCCATTTAAATGTCATTTCCTGTTACTCTTTACGGGAAACCTTAATTGTCCTTCAAGTTCCGTTTCAAAGAAAGTAAATGATAGAAAAGTATCTGAATGTTGACTCGAGGATTATTTTAAACATTTCAACCATCAATCACGATCTAATTACAAACTTGCAGTTTTCTATTAACCAAACACCATACTGAACATCTCTGTGTTCCAGCAATCAAACAATGTACGGAACATTTCAGTGTTTTAGCAATCAATTCTCATATTGAATATTTCAATGTTCTAGCAATTAAATGTCATTTGGAATAATTCAATGTTCTAGCAATCAAAAGCTATACGGAACATTTCAGTGTTCTAGCAATCAAACACGGAACATTTCAGTGTTGTAGCATTCAAATGTCATATGGAACATTTCTGTATTCAAGCAACTAAACATCATACGGTACATTTCAGTGTTCTAGCAATCAAAGACCATACGGAACATCTGTGTTCTAGCAATCAAACCCGGAACATTTCAGTGTTGTAGCAATCAAATGTCATATAGAACATTTCTGTATTCAAGCAACTAAACATCATACGGTACATTTCAGTGTTCTAGCAATCAAAGACCATACGGAACATCTCAGTGTTCTAGCAATCAAACCCGGAACATTTCAGTGTTGTAGCAATCAAATGTCATATAGAACATTTCTGTATTCAAGCAACCAAACACTATACGGAACATCTGTGTTCCAGAAACCTAACACAATCAAACACCATACGGAACATTTCAGGTCCCTACCAATCAAGAAATATCTGAATCATGTCAATGGTTGAAGTCATGTGGGTTGGGCGGTCTGATATGGAGATTGCATCAAGTCGTTGTAATTGGACTATAAACTGAGGCCTCATGTTCAACAGGATAAGATCGTTGTTATTCAACATCCGAAAAAGAAAAATAATATCCACGACGTATCATGATTCCTTTATTTGCACTGCATACTGTAAGCCCTTCCCCGTTTTCATCAGTCCGAGCTGGTGCAGACAAGTCGGTTGTAAAATTCAAAATCAAGCCTAATGAATGGATAAAAACAGAAGCGTGTATACCAATGACAACGAGTATTTATCACTAGTTATAGTAGAATAAGTAATAGCCGATCACTGATTCACTGGAATAATATGAGTTCTAATTGGCTTATCACAGTTAATAAAATTGGCCTTTCCATGAGAAATTTGTCAGTTTCCAATTATTTATAGCATGTTTATCTGAGAGAATGTGAGAATTCGATAAGTTTCATTGAGTTATGAATCCTGCTTTTACTATCAATAAGACAATTCAATACGAGCTTCACTGCCCGGTTTTAGTATCCTAGCATGGTAATGACCACAACGTAGTCGAGGTGAGGGTTTACAAAAAGGTAGTGTGCTACGCGTTACTATAGTAATACATAGTTGGAATTTAAAATATTTTTTAAAGTCATAGTCCTGGTACAATTTTAGTTCATATTTTCACTTGATGAATTTGTCCATCTAATGAAGATCTTCTCAATATTTAGGAGATTTAAAAATGTCCTTTTGTGAATGTGACACACTTAGCTTCTTTCTACACCATTTACGCAGTGCCTCTGATTCTGTTAGAGAGGCCGAGAAACCGCTTACCAATATCTTCATATAGTAAAGCACTGTTGACCTATCCATAGTGATGGTGACTCCAACTGTATACCAACCTGGTCATATCATGAGCACCAATCTATAGACCATCATAGTAAAGGGTAATGAATTAACTGGCTTACCTGTTAATAATTTTTCTATCCAATGACCAGCGTGGTATTTGACTATAGAGAATTGTGGTAGTTCGAGTTGATCTACTCCTGATACAGCTTTATTCTGTAACCATTGTAACACCAGATCGTCAGTGGTGTAGCCATCTGAAACATCAAGAAGGTAATGAATCAGATGAAAGCACAAAACAAAATATAATGTGCATGTCATATACCGGTTTGATCATAGAAAGCACCAGTGTGCGAAGAACAATGCGAACTGCTTGGTTTTATGAAATTTAATTTATTCCAAGCAAGAGTGAAATGCAAGTTCTATCTATTGGATGAGTTATTAATTTTTCTCATTTTAGATCAGAACAGAGAACAATACCCGGCAAATCCAGACTATTTATTCAAATTTTTCAATGAAGTATTTGTTTCACCCTAGCACTGTACATTGGGAAATATTCATATTTGAAGATGGAAGTTGCTTTTGAAACACAAAATATTGCTGAGATTGATAAGAATAAAAGTCATTTTGACAATTTTCTGTTATTCATGTGATATTCAGCTCGAATAGAATCTTTATTTTTTTTTATGAAATTCATCTCGGATATAAAAATCATATCTTGAATTTTATACGATTGCATAGCATAATAGTTGTCATTCCTTATCTTTCTTGGTTTTTATCTCTCATAAGTCGTAATTCTACTCAAATCGCCAATAACTGCAATATCTCGAGTTTTAATGGTGGATTAATTTCCCGATCCCGTCCTGATTTATTTTATATCTTACAGAATTGAACGCTTTAAGTTTTATCGCGCGGAAATGTTTATCGAGTAAAAGAATTGAAACTATGATTAGTTTATTATTCACGAGATGCATCAAACGAGATAAATAAGTATCAAAACTATAAAAAATGTCTGGAGCAACCAACAGCGTACATTGCTCTCGGTCAGTTGCCTCAGCGGCTTCAGGGGTTTTATATTTAACTTTCAAACTGCAGAAAACCAAAAAAAAAAAAAAAAAAATTACATTTTGTGGTATATTGTACGGGACAATGTTTTAATTATTTGTGCTTCAAATGATTATGTACGTTGATAACACCTCTGGGAAAAAGCTATTTTGCAAATCGACATCTCAGTCCAGATAGCTTGTTTTGTTTATTTGATATATTTCTCATTTCGTATCATTGATCTTGAATTCATTCAAGAAGTTATGGATTTAAACTCAACTTTATTCGAGATCGCATCGATCTGAAAATGTTTGATAGTTCAAAAGCACTAAAAAATATGTAATTCCAACTAGAACACTGAACCTTAATCGGCTGTTTGAACACAAGGCTGAGATTTGTCAAACTTAAACCCCACTTGACCCGTATCTCTTTTCATAACGGATTTATCAATAAAGAGATCAGTAAGACAAAGGATCAAACAGACAAAAACGTTTGTGAGTAACCCAAGAATAGTCAAAATCCTACTAGCGATTGGGAAGGTGCTTTAAACACGATTTATATCTCCTATTTCATCAGATTTATTACGGAAAATTGAAGGATATTTTATTGAAAATTTGAATGAGATCTATAATCCTATGACTTTTTAGCTTATTCATCAGAATAAAAATACCCTTATAGTGAAATTCAAAATCATCTATCCTGACGATGGATTAGGTATCTAAACACTCCTTTGCCACTGGGGTGACTCCAAAAGGCTGACTTGAAAAAGTGTAAAATCTGCACGATAGGAAAGATCCTCAGGTATAGCTGAAATAGAGTACTTCAGTCACTTTCCTGATACCCCCTCCAAAGTAGGATGTAAGAAATAGACCACGATTGCCGTGTTTTGCTTACATCGTGTCAAAATCATCCTCTTAATTGTCATCAGCTGTCCTTCAAGATATATAGTTTAATGACAATTGGTCGGATGTCGTTTTAAAACAAATTTACTGTTGAACTCCAGGTTGTTCCTTTATTAATGTATTTGTTAGTAGTTACATTAACTATTCGAGAAACTTCAGGAAATCCTTGCTTAATGATCAGTTCAGAGAAAGGTCAAGACTGTTATTGGATTACTGCATGGTCAAATCAATTCGCAAACTAATTGTAAAATTCAGACTCTCAAAAGCTCTTCAAAATTAAAGATAAGTTTGTTACCCGACGCTTTATGAAAAGAACAGATTTGAAAATATTGTCTAGGCTTTGAATATTTGAGACCTCTGTGGCTTCATTTGAAACGTTCTAATTACCCGTCAGATATGTTCGGTTCCCTGAAATTCCAGAAAGACTATGACGTGGCTATCGCGGATATCGTTCAAGCGAAATGGTTTTTGCGATATGGCTTCCTCGAGTGTAAAAAAAGGAAGACAAAATTTGAACACCAACTTAGCCTACGTGAAATGTCTAAACATTGTTTTTCCCCATTCATTGTATTGACCCCATTGACTGAATGTTAGACAGGACCTTGTCCTTGTGTAGTGTGCCTAATTCTGACCCATGTAAAATAACAAGTTTGATATTATTATTGTTAGTAACCAACTTTCGGATTCACAATGGTTATTTGTCAAAAAAGGATGAAATTTCTAAACTTTATATTTGTTTTATATAATACAATTCATTATATTGTTCCTACGGGCTGAATGTTAGACTGGACCATGTATTATGTTTTGGGCCTAATTCTGACATTTCGTATTCACGATGGTTGTTTGTCAAAAAAAAAAAAAAACGTTCAGCAGGGCCTCAAGGATAGTCGTTCACTTCTTAACTCTCAATGAACTTGAGTCTATGCGATGATCAATGACTAGTAAGTCCCTTCATCTTAATTTCATTCTCTTCATGGCTTCCTTTGAACTTGGCTTTTTATTTAGTTTGATCATTTCAGTGACGGACTGTTCATGAGAAAAATACCAACTTGAGATTTAGACAGAAAGTGGCCACACATCAAATAAAATTATTATATATTCATTAAGGTATCACTTGATACTATTGATCTTGGCGTTGAAAATCAAATTCTTACTTCTGTTTCAAAAGAGAGAGCCGACGAGTGTAATAAAATGAACAGTACTAAGTACCATCTGTAATAGCTCTCAATACAACTCATTCTCTTTCCAATCGTCGAGAGAACAGTTTTTAATCAAATCACATAATAGTAACCACACATATTTTAATTCCGAATCATTCAAACTTGTCTAGAATCTCATATTCCGATGAAAGTAAGATGATATTTGAAAACCATCTCATCATCGACGCCTACTGTGACTTAAATACTGAAGGACGTTTTAAATGATTTATTTCTCCATAACAAGCAGCACTTGAACTCAAAATTCGATCAATACAGCAAAAATGATCCGAATTGAAGTGTCACATTTTCTATGTATCATATTATTTTTTTGTTACCGATGATGGTTAGAAAGTGGTAAAAAAATCAATTTTTTCCAGCAAAGTATAATAAGTACTCACAGCTTTCAATCTCCACTGTGCATTCTTGTTCATCAAGTGGATAATTATGTAAATCCATCATACAGGCGAGGGTTGTTGTAAACCTGAAGTGAGAATAAAACGTTAACTAGTCGAAGCAAAGAAGAAAATGAGAAAAAAAGTAATATTCAAACTTATGAAATATTGAGAATGAAGACTTACATACGAGAATTTTTAAAAAGGATTCTCAAGAGATATTCAAGCTTTTACATGTATACAGCCTTTTACAGGTTTTCCCCATAATGAATTGAAACCTAACTTTACAATGGTCGGCAAGTTATGATATATTCTAATCGTCTACAGATTATCATCAATAATGAATTATTATTAGGAATTGTGCCCACCATAAAGTTCGCCCAAGTGCCCACAAGTTGTCATATAATCAAACAATGTGAGGTCCATTATTTATATCTGTAAATTGTGACATAAGTAATATAAGTATACACTGGATTTCTCCCAAGACGAATTCAATGATATTTTCACAATAGACCTCAAGTTATAATGTTCTCAAACTGCACTACCTAGAACACAACGCGTTTATAAACAATATTGTGACACAGGGTATATTAGTGTATATTTTGGATTTCCCCCAAGAGGAGTTCAATTATATTTTCACGATGGACCTTAGTTACAATAAATTTAAACTTTACTAGCTAAAAGACAATGCTTTGGGTGTCCATCCATTCTCTATAGTAACTTGACATATAAAGTATTGAAAATTATTAACTATGACCCTGCTTAAAGAACCTTGACTTGAGCACAAGAATTTATTCCTCGGCGGATAATCGAAAACCATAAAGAATGATAAATACACACATTAGACCTATAAACTATAGGAAAGTAACCAGCGAGGTGGAATATCGAATAACTAGCTATAAATAAATTCCATTAACATGCAGTAAGGTGGATTGGTGAGAGACAGAAATGATTTGTTAGGATTCATCTTATTACATGTTTGGTCTTTACATTGGATCTATAACATATTCTTCTCAAATAGTCTCTTTTTTGCATTGCATATCGATCAGATAGCCAATCTAATTAAAATTAGATTATAATTTCATATCTTTTTTCGTTTTCTGATTTTTTTTTTATCTGCATGGCAATCTATCAACTGTTTTTTTTTGTTTTAATTTTCCTAATGAAATAAGGATTTCAACTGAATTCATCTTTTGTTCGAGTCAAAAAAATTCCAACGTTGGTGAGGGCAGGAATTTGATTGGCTTGCGGTGTCATCAAAGGGATAAATGTTCAAGAAGGTGTGTCTTTAGACCCTAACTGAAGTGGTTAAATTAAAAGAGAAAGCTAATAAAAAACGAGGTAAAGCTTGGTCTTATTTGAATAAAAATGATGAAATCTTGAACATACCTCATACCGTACACTATGGACCCATTACCATATATTCGTATCATCTGATTTTTCTCTGTGACGTCATGAAGATAAGAATTTTTGTCGTTGGCGAGAAAGGTGTCAGGAACCCAGATTCGTTCTGCAAATTCTCCAGTTAAAGTCATACTTTCATTGATATTATCTGAGAACTGTAGGCGATCATCTCTCCAGTATTGATTTAAATACATGGTTATAGTATAATCCTGAAAAATACAAATCATCAAAGATAAATACAGCTGATAAATACAACTGGTAAATACAACTGATAAATACAACTGATCAATACAGCTGATAAATAAATACAATTGGAACAATTTTAATGACTACAGTTGATAAATAAATCTGATAAATACAAATGATTAATACAACTGATAAATACAATTGATAAACACAACTGATAAATACAAAGGTAATTATAACTGATAAATAAAAAAGATAAATTCAACTAGTAAATACAAAAGATAAATACAAATGATAAATTCAACTGGTAAATACAAATGATAAATATAATTGATAAATATAATTGATAAATACAACTGTTATATCCCACAGATAAATTCCACTGATGAATTCAAGTCATCAGACACAAATGATAAACATAACTGATAAATACAACTGATTAAAATTGATAATGCAATAAATACAAGTATTGGTAAAGATCCAAGTATCCGTTAATCACGTTACTTACAAGAACTGCAAAAAATCTGGAATAATTCTCTATTACGAATTGGAACATGCGATTGTTTATTCAATTTGATAATAGCCATATTCACGTGTGCCTGTTTTACTGATATTTTTATTTGTTAACACACTTGAAGCGCCGTTTTTTTAACATGTTAATATAATTCTTGATAAATGTCATTAGAACATAAAATAACATTTAGTGTAATGATGATGCATTGCACCACAGATGGGAAATAGTTGTATTTTTTGTTTGATATCCGATAACAATTCGATATTTTTTTTCTAATTTTATTTTTATTCGATTCTTGATTTATTACTACTGACTACTGATAAACACAATGACGTATAATCAATTCTAAGAATGATATATTGTAGCTGCACAAACTAGTAATTTGGTTTGTCCCTAAATTATATATTTTGAAATTAATAAAACATAATCTAGGGTTTTTTACATTTTTCTGTGGATGGCACTAACCATGATGATATCACATCCAAAGGAGTAAGTTGGGCCAGATTTGTCACGATTACAAACATGCAATAATATCATATGCAAATATTGCAATCATATGATCGCGATGGGAATGACACTGCAATTGCTTCTGTATGATACCCGATGTGTTAAAGGGACAGGTGTGCCATTTTGGGGAGTTGATGTTAGTCTTGAATATATGTAAATAGTCTTCAGAAGTACTAGAAATGTACGAAAATCGCATAAATCCTTTAAAAATACTTCAAACTATGAATTTTACTCAATATTTCTATATATGTCTTTTCTATATATCACAGAGTATCTTAATTTAAATTTTAACATTCAATTGCGGATAATTCTGAACCCACAGGACGCATATGGATTTGAAAGTTCAAATTTCGACGGTGAGCTATGAACACTCTAACTGATTGGCTTAGCTAAAAAAAATTCCCCTTTCAGAGACTAAAGTTTGATTAGTGAAAAAAATGGCATACCTGTCCCTTTAAACACAATTTTATCAATAAATCTCTTATTTTAAGTTCAGATCTTTGGCATTGCCTACCCAGCATGGAATTGAAATAATTAAAAAGTCAATCATTCTCAAGATGCGGTGTCACGGAACTGTTGAAACTTGCAATGGGTGAGCAACACTGTCAAAGAATTATATCGCCTTTCACGTGCGCTTAGTGATCCCAAGAGATGGGAACAATTTAAACTGCTGCAGTGTAAAAGGCTAATCAAATATCTCCATCAAAACGTGACCATGTTGTGCGCTTGTTTTTGCTTTCATATTAGTTTCAGTAAATTTGGGACATTTTACTTTTGATTATTAAAACCTGCTATTATTTTATGTTTTAAGGGGTTTTCTAAATATTTTATATCTATAAGGGACACTTATAGCATCAATTTGAACCATTTCAATTTTCAGTTCGACCTCTGTGGTTCCTGCAATTCCACTAAAACTAAGTTTTTGATGATGTCACTAATCGCAAAAACATGCTTTATCACATAAGGCCCTAGTGACATCACCAAACACTTAGTTTCAGAAAATCTCTTTTAAGGTCGCAATGAATATTTTACTAAAGAAATAAGGGTTCGGTCGTTAGTCACATACACTTTCTTACACAAACTGCCTCCGCCAGTGATATTAGTATTTATATAGTGTCCAAGATCAAGCAGTTTGGTTTACAACATTGTAAGTACAGAAAAACAAAAACCTCAGCCACGAATTGAATTGAGCGAAAGAAAAAAATCGTTCAAGACCAACTTCTTCGATCCGGTCAGTAAAGTTATCTTTTTTCTCACCATGGCCTGGTCTGACTACACGATTTTAATCACAAAACGGAAATGATTTGACATCTTTCCTGAATTAGTTCGTTACACTAATACTAACACTAAAAGACAGGATTTCAATTCGCTTTTTAGCTCTACATTCAACTCAGATGCAGAATATCAACTCTTTATATTAAAAGATTAAAAAAAATATATATTGTTCATTTGGGTCAGATAGGTTTTAGTTAGAAGCATTTTATTGAATAGTATGATAATCAATGGTAAAAGGAATTATAAATTGATTGAAATAGAAATTGTAGCTTAGAATATGCTATTTACCTACGTTAGACTCTACGTTGGGATGCTTTCAATGACTGACCCATTTTTGTGGTATTGACAATTGAAAATATATCAAGAATAGAAGGCTACTTTAAACTACCAGCTGTGAATGCAGACAAAAAAACATTTCTTAGTGAGGATCGGGAACCATAAATGGTATTTTACTTAACTCGAGGTTTACTATAATGAGTGTCATGGATAGTGTCACCAGCTCGTTCTTGATGTCATCTAACTCATCATTCCTTTTAGAGAGTCCACACAGTTAATCATAGTTTTTTTTTTATTAAGGATTATTTCGTTACGACACTTTTAACGTACTTAGCTCAATATAAAGATTATTTTACCAATCGTGAAACGTGACACAGTATCTAGATTGGTTCTGTCTGCTTGAGGTAACAACATATTTTATGAAATGGCGATATTGACAGTAAAAATGTATTAATCTGACACAAAATCAAAAGAAATATGTATTTTTATGTCCAATATCATTTCGTTACAGACGATAAATGGCGTTAAGTTAATGAAAATTCTAAAAAATATTGGTATTTGTCATTGTGACATGGGGACGAAAATATGAGTTGATTTGATGACAAAAAATATAGGCCAGTGAAAAATGTTTATAAATGTATTCAGCAACACGGAAGTATATATAACTTTAGACATTCTTATGCCATTCTGAAATTGTGCTCGCGTGTTGAAGTGAGAAAACATTGCATTTTGAAAAAGAGCTCATGTTGCTACTGTTACACGCGAATGAAGAGCATTTCTGGTGCGGAAGAATTCCAACCAATTCATTTGCTCAGCAAGGAACAAATTAGATCCACTCACAAAGTATAAAACAACAGGATATTGAACCTTGTTTTAAGCATTTAGTATCAATAGTTAAGTAAGATACTGTTCATACCAGACATAGAAATAGGCATAGATAAAGAAGCATAAAAACAGAGAGTTATGCTACGATATTGAGTTTTTGGAGCGTCTTTGCTGCGCGTGAACTGTGTTTTTAAATTGCTGAAGGAATTGTAACATCGCTTGTCTCAGCGCGTTCCAGAACAGATCACCGAAATTTGGCGTTTGTTTTGAACAATGGCGACATATATTACGCTTATAGAAAGCTGAGCCAATTTCTGAGGCAGTTTAATTTCAAATCCAAATCATGTACAGAGGAGTAGGCGGATAAAATCCTTTCCTATTAATTATCTCAGTAAAGAACAGCAGGATGTAAAATTCAAGAGGAAATAAATGGACATTTGGTTTTATCATTGGGATAATGAAGATAGATTCCACTACAATAAAGATGCATTCAATTATAACTATTTTCTTTTCATGAAAATCCCGAATTACACAGTTGAGTGGCATGTTATAAGAACTATTGATGTGTTTTTTATATCGTGAACCCTGTGATTATTTAAAATTATGACAATTGCTTTAAAATCATGATTGATTTCGCTGTTATTAGAGAAGCGATTTTTTAAAATATACTTCATTACAGCTTCCGTGAATCGTAAAAATGATCAATCATTTTCAACAGGACACTAGTTTAAAACTGGTTCTTCGTTGTACATATTATGGTCTTGACAATCTATCTTATACATACAGTTTCGCAGAGTGGCACAAGTGTGATTGTTTTATTTGAAAAAAAAAATGTTTGATGTTTATTAGAAGATTAGGCAACGTTGTCGCAAGTACTTGTTTGTGTATTCTTGGTTACAAGCGGGATAAAATTGTAGACAATTTGTTTCTGGACAACACTGGTATTTAGAATGGTTTATTTTATAAATAACATAGGAGATTTTTTATTAGGACAGGAGCTCTCCGCTTCTTCTCTACGCATAAAGATTCCATGCCATAGTAAAGTAATATTATAACAATAAGAGCAAAAATTGATCGTGGCAAAATGACTTTGAAATTTTTTTGGAGAGTACAATGTATTCTATAGCAATTCCAAACAAATTTTATAGGCCTTCGATAATCGAAAACCATGCAATTTTCACTGACAATAAAATGAAAGTGTAAAAAACTAGAAACTATTTTAATTCTGCAATTGGATACCTCACGGAAGAAGGATATTTGTCATTATTTTGATTCAAAGAAATGTCAAGATTGATTTCATTTCAACTGCGAAAAAATTACGTTTTTGTACAGAAATGCATTGTTTTAGGTCGGTTAAACTTTCTTTTGTTTAAATAATTGACATTTGATTTACGATAAACTGAATGGAAACCATGGAGGAATCAAATGAAACAACCTTTAATCAACTTTTTGAAATGGAATGATACTATCTGATGAAATTTTACATCTGACTTTCCTGCACCGGATTGGCCTAATGAACACAGACGTAGCTACATAAGCCTACTCTCTCTTCAGTTCCAATTGTTTAGCAATCTTCTAACGTGTAAAGCCTGTAGCCCAGGGTTTCGGTTTATTGTCCCATTCGAATAAATAAAATCTATACTTATGTCTGTCCTATCCTGGCAAATTTCCACTAATGCACTCTGCATGGCGTTGCCAGGTTTTACTAATCCAATAAGGAGCAGTAAATAGTCCAAAAAGCTCCGTTTCATTTCTTTTAAATAGATTTATCGTGCCATAACCTAACTCACTGAAGTTCACCGACACATAAAGAAACAACGCTTATAAAGGTCAAGTAGAAAAAATTTCAATTTTCTACAGACACATCATTTTCCAAAATGTTAACCAATAATGAAATAATAATAACCATAAGGATCTAATATGTTGGTAGACTGTTATATCATATTTGAGAACCATCATGATTACCAGTTGCGTATGAATTATGAATGTGGCCATGACTTTCGAACACAACTCACAACTCAGTTGCACGAGAGATGCGTTCGAAACTTATGACCGCTTCTCTATTCACAACCACACGCAACTGGTGATTGCTATGGTGTGAGGGCCATTTTACACAAGATGTGAGCAATTCAGGATAAGTATAAGACTAAAAGATATCTTTTTCAATATATAATCATATTTAGAAAACTTAATGCAATTTATAAGTCTGTCAGAAATTCCATATTTAGTCTGGAAGTCTCCGTTCCATTTCGTTGATGTAACGGATATTTCATGTAAGCATCTCACGAAAGTCGAAGAAATCAGATTAAAGTTTAGTCTATTGTTAAAGGAAAACACAAAGGCGATAAAACCATTGATTTTCTTTTTTCCAAGATTAGTTTTTTTTCTTGACCTGCTGATATTGATTCCAAAGTTAAAGTTTTATTCCTTGATTTAAAAGACAAAGCGTCTCCATTTCATCTGAATGAAGCAATAAAAAGATCCCACTATTTTACACTCAAATGCGATGTAAACAATGTTTATGGTGAACCTCTAGACAGCTTTGGATTTTCATTGCTTTTAAGTTGATCAATCTTACCCGAATATGTGGTCAAACGTATTTCTAATAGTCAGGAACAAATTCTGGACAGTTGGTCAAACAGATCCGAATTTAGGTCAGATGGGCACATAGACCTCAGATTTGGTCAAACGGAAATACAGATTTCAATTTTGGTCAAATAAGAAACAGATCTTAATTTTGGTCAATTAGGAACACAGATCTTAGTTTTGGTCAAATAAGAATACAGATTTTAATTTTTGTCGAATAGGAACACAGATCTTAATTTTGGTCAAATTAGAATACAGATCTAAGGTATGGTCAAATAGGAACACAGATCTTAATTTTGGTCAAATAGGAACACAAATCTTAATTCTGGTCAAATGAGAACACAGATTTTAATTTTGGTCAAATAGTAACCCCGATCTTAATTCTGGTCAAATGAGAACACAGATCTTATTTTTTTTCAAATATGAACACAGATCTTAATTTTGGTCAAGTAAGAACACCGATCTTAATTTTGGTCAAATGGGAACACAGATTTTAATTTTGGTAAAATATGAACACAGATCCTAATTTTGGTCAAATAAGAACACAGATCTTAAATTTTGGTCAAATGGGAACACATATTTTAATTTTGGTCAAATGGGAACACCGATCTTTAGGTCTGGTCAAATAGGAACACAGATCTTTAATTTTGGTCAAATGGGAACACTGATCTTAATTTGGTCAAATAGGAACATCGATCTAAGGTATGGTCAAATAAGCAAATATACTTTTGATCCAGTGATAATGGGATGTTTAAAACTTTGGAGTTGAGCTCGAAACTGTACTTTTTTTTATGTTGTCATTAAAATGTTTATTGTCAGTGCTGTTTACTTTGGTGTAGTAGCTCATACTGGAAGGACTAAAGGTACCCGGGATACTGAGGGTTTATAGGAATAATTAAAAACCCAGCTTACCATATTGACTTCTGATATACTGTCAAAACTTGCCAGTATTACTTCTATACCAATATTTAATGGTTCATCTGAAAATATATAGTGAACATAGTCATTACCTTAACGTCTAAGGTAAAACCCTTTCCTTCAATTGTCGGGTTATGGAAAGAGTGTCCTACACAAGAGATATGTAGGAAACTACGCATCGCTCTTACATTCCATTAAGAAACAGATCGTGGTCCGCATTGTTTCGTATAGCACAGGTTTTCCAAAAAAAAGGTTCTTATCATAAGAGATCATACAAAATCCGCACTCAATTTGACAGTATAAATTGAGCTATAAAAATATACATTAATTTGCTATAAAACTTCTTTGATGTCATATAAATGAAATATTAAATTTCGGGGAGAACGAGAAGAGAGGGCACCGAGTGTATTTATGAATGGGTTCAGAAAAGTAGGACGTAAACACATTCAATATCATTTCATTTAATTCCATTTCATTTCATTTGATGATGTATGTGCTAAATTACAACGGTGACAAATTACCCTAACTCATCAATTTATACGGTATATCAATGAAATGAATGGCACGAAGTCGATAATGCAGTTGAAATGTGTAAAATATATTTTCAACAGCACGGAAAAAACACATCTGATATTTTCCATGAAAGATTTTGTAGAAGATCAGCTCAATATACCGTGACAAATGTAAATTTATTGGCGCACGTAGGATACTACCAACACAGTAAACGAGTTACTCGACATTACTCACCATTAACTTAGATCAATGTCGAGCGCGTGGAAAAATGTGTGTAACCCTTGCTAAAACAAAGTTCAAAATAGCCAGATTTGCTGAAATAAACCCAAAAATGTATCGCTTCATACTGTCAATGTCAAGCTATTACGACATTTGTCTCTTACCTTGACTGCAATAGCCACCTTTTTTATATCACGGGTTGCAGATATTTGATTGGATTGTTCGCCAGCGAATACAATCAATCATAGCCCCCGACGAACAGACTGTAAACATTAAGGCTTATTGTTAACAGACTTTCTATCGGGGACTCTTGATTCGCTGTATTCGTTAATTTCCATGATACAAGTAAAATGGCTATATAAGACGAACTTAGTAATAGCTTGAAATGGTGAAGATGAAGATTTAATTTCAGAGGAAGAAATCTTTGTTTTAAAATCTTCGTATCTTTTATTTCCAGCAACAACTAGAATATTTCACTCTTCAATACTTCATCAAAATCAAAACATCGCGGAATGTTCGTAAAACAAAATAACAATGCGAAGATAGGAACAACCAGATTTACGTCCAAACCCACATTGTATGTTGGCGTAAAAAAAGCTATGAATGATCAATGGCCGAACAATTTCTCTGAAAACTGCACCTCGACAGTTGGAAATCGAAAAAGAGTAGGCTAATGCCGTTGTGCTGGCATAATTTCCCTCCTTACACACTTCATGGCGTTGTCCGTCTTCATCGGCCCAGCAGATGCAGAAACATTATATCTATCTCTCTTTATTCTAGTCCATGTCTTTCCGAAGGCGACGGATTCTTCAACACAAATGTCAAATAAATCGAACATTACTTCATTTCCCAGTTTTTAGTTGATTAGTCCCGGTGTATAAATTGGCGTTATAAGGAGACAATCATTTCACGGAAAGAAAATTGCCGATTTATTTCTTTCCTTGAATGGAGTTGTATCCGCTGACAACTGATACTGAAGTTTGTAAATTGCACATTCGAGTGCAATTATATTGAACACATCCTGTCAAACGCATGAAAACTATAACTATTAAGTTTTTAATGACATCTTTAACATGAGATAAAATGACAATTAAAGAACGATGTTTTTTCTATTGTTATGTTTTCTTCCTGTGCATACAATAGATTTTAACATTTTTTATATTTTTCTTACAATTCTGACATTGTTCCTGTGTAGAATGTACTTATTAGACTAAGGACACACATATACGTGTCTAAGAAAAATTAAATCCCACAAATAAACAATTCATAAAAAAAGTGGCACACCTCAAGGTAAAGTGGCAATTAAACATAGCATGTAGTCTTAATACAGAAAACAACCAAGTCTTCCAATATCTCTATGTAGTGCTTGTTGCATTTTAGGTCTGTACATTCGGGAGAATCAACTCTTCTCCTTTCTTTGAATCTCAACTGTCTAGAGCCAAGACGAACTGGTAAGGTTGCCATTTTGCAGCTCTTTGCTTTCAGTCCAAGTTCAAAAAAGAAAAGATAAACATCGCATTGCATTTTGATTTGTTGTCAGAGGAATAAAATACTAACTTAAGGCACTTAGTTGCAGCTATAAATCTTATTCCTGAGAGCTTTGCCAAACGTAACGTTAACATTATGCTCAATCATCCAAATAATTCTTCTCCCTAGGCCTCTGATGTGAACTATTGACACTATGCTCGTATTTAATGAGATTTAAAATCTCAAACTCGATATCAAAAATCTCTTTGTGATATTTAGAAACTATTATTCGTTTAATATATATTTAAGTATAATTAATAATAATAAACACGAAATTATAAAGGATAAAAAAACACCTGTATTAAGATACATTAATATATTATATCATATAACAAAAAATGAGCTGTAACAGAGCCAGAGCCAGACTTGATTTTCCGAAGGGATAAGTAATATATCCTGAGGAGCAATGGAATTGGTCGGTTGTCAGAATTTTTTCAGGGGCTATTCAGTTGCTTCCCCTCTTTGGCCCCCATAGAGCTACGAGCCATGGCTGTATTGCGGAGACGCGGTTGATATCTTGCTGAAATCACCAACAGACATACCATAATGTCTCTATATATACAGCAGAAAATACTGTGTAAAAATGGCCAACTAGATCTTAATAAAGATCGAACTAAATTAAAACTACGACAGTTAACCTTAGACAGTTTGCTTGGAAATTAAATTCTGCTCGTCAACTTCTCTACTGTCTTGACCCAATAATATTATTTTAAGAATATTAAGAAACCGTTTAACAGCAGCTATTAACTGATAGCGAAGTCTTTTGTTACGTGAGTTGTTTGTTGTGGATTGATGCTACGATCACTTCTATTTCAGTATATTTATGCAGTATGTGAATGGTAAATCACCTTGTTCACAAAGTCGAAGCATTAATGCTCAACGGTAATGGTGTTCTTGAATGTGTTGTGTTAAAAATGATCCACATGAGGCATTAATTCTCAATGGTAATCTGTTTCAGTGTGTTTTGTGATCCATGATGTTTCTTCTAAATAGCACATTACTCCCAATGGAACTCTACAACTGTTTCGTGGTAATGTGTTCTATGACACAGGTTGTGTTATATGTTTGAATGGTAACACATCACATCCGATAATGTGTTGTTTGATGTGTGATGATTAGCCTGTTTTAAAAGGTTAGAGTTTGTGTTTTCAATTGCACCTATATTTCAAATGATGTGTTCTGGTATGTGTGGTATTAAAACGTTTCACAACAACGATATTGTGTTTTTATACATATAAAGGTACGTTATATCTGATTATTTATGTGGTGAATAACCTGTTGCACAAAGTGATTTCAGACATAAATTGTGTTGTACATGTGGATATCGCTCAAAGATCGTGACCCAGAACGATGATTAAAAGCACATAAAAGAAGGCACATGTTGACCCTTAAAGAATTCCAATTGTGTGATTTCTGGTATCCATGAAGATCATGTTGGATTAAGAATCCAGCGAGTGGAAGGTGGATTTACTGGTATGTCATATTATGGTAAGTGAAACTTGTTTGATACTCCTTCAGAATATTTGTGATATTTTGGATAATTTCTCTTAAAATCTAAGAATTATTCCGTAGCTAATATACTGCTTAGAATCATCTTAAATAACTGAAAGCCAGAATAAAAAGTGTAAAATCAAACAATAATACAAACTGAAAGGATATATAACCGTACAATTGGGATTAACTGTACAATGAAACAATAATACAAACAGAAATGATATACAAATGTACAATCAAACAATAACACAAACAGAAAGGATATACAGCTGTACAATCAAACAAACAGAAGGATATTCAACTATACAATCAAACAATAACACAAACAGAAAGGATATAAAACTGCACAATCAAACAATAACACAAACAGAAAGGAAGGTCAAGATTAATCTACAAGCAGAGTTAATCGAATAGATTTTGTTTTCCTTCCAGGCAAGAAACCGACTTACGTTTCACCTATTCCCTTAAAGAATTAATCTTGTTTACTTCAAACAGTTACCATCTTTTATCTTTCCCGCACACTTCCTTCCGGGAGCGACCTCTTCACGCTTTTAATCTGGTTTCAATGGTTAAAGGCTGAACTAAATGAAGTGTTTTCTATGATATTCCGAATGAAATTTGCGGTTGAATAAGTGATTATTCATTCGTGAAACCTTGACGACTGTTGTTGCAACAAGACCCAATGTGTTACATTAAGTACATCTAGAACCTGCATACAGAGAAAACATGACTTCGGTGATATCAATATATTCTCAGAATCCGAATCACAACGAGCGACATACCGAAAATATTTTTCCACCATATCTTGCTTTCTTACACCAGAATCTGGCAACCATCGAAAGTCATATGAAAATCAGGTATGTATACTCGACGGTAAGTCTCTGTTTTGCCACTCTAAAATAATATTTCTTGTGGTCACAGAACTATTAGATAAATGAGGTGAAATGGAAATAGCAGCTTGACATTCGTGGTATTTTCTCGATGTAGCCGCGATAGCTTCAAGAGTCTCCCCGGGATATGCACCCGACACACTGCCAATCTTGTGAAATTGATGCCAACGTCTTCCAGGCTGATAACTTATCTTGACAGAATATTAGAGTCACGTTGACTTCGGAAGGAAACGAATCACCCATATTACGCTGAAATCTTATTGATGGTTGAATTGATTCCGCTTCTAAATCGACCAAAGATTCTTTTTGAAATACCAAGTTCGTGATACAAATATATCTGAACTTGTATAAGGACAATGCAATGTATAAACTATTTTCAGATCATCTTAAAGCTTATCTCATGCCGCTCCTCGCCTTGA